CTCCTCTCCCTCTCTTTCCTTCTCTCTTTATTTTCCCCTTTTATTGCTTTCTTGCCCTCTTGTCTTCCATCTTGGGATGATAAAGCTAGAAAGGGGCTTGCCAGATTTGGGCCCCATGACCTTGGGCTTTCCAGTCTCCAGAACTGTAAAAGCCAAATCTCCTTTCATTATTATTTGCACAGTCTCAGGCATTCTATTGACTACGGTCACTACTCTAGAAATTGTTCCCATTTCATGGCTCAGGTTTTTGGGTTCCTGCTTTCTGCTTTAATTTTCTTTTCTTGTTGAAATCTTTGGATCCTCTCTCACTTATGGTTTACACTGCCTCGTGTCCTCTGCCGTCTTACAGGTTCTTTTTTCCTGCTTTCTGATCCTGTCACTTTTTTGGTAAGGGTCTCTTTTCAAACGTCTCACATCCAGACTATCTTAAGACATGATTGCATTGCCCCTTTGGGGGAAGCCTCCTTCCTGATCTGCTATGGCCCTGTCCGGCCACAGGAGGCTGCTTGGGGTTTAGCTGCGGAGTTCTCTCCCCAAGAGTCATGCTCAGAGGTATTTGGTGACACGGTGACCTTAAGGAAACTCTGACTTGTGAAGTCATCTGGTTTACTCTTCATACAATTAAACCGAAGTGCTCAGACATATGCAGTGCTCAGAAGCATTCGGTGACATGGCGACCCTAACAAAAGCTCTAGTTTGTGAGATCATCTGGTTTACCTTTCATAGAATTAAAATCTCTTTGTAGTTGTGAACATTGCATTCAGTTGGGGTCCTTATTTCAGCACCTCATTGGACCTCACTGAAAATTTTAAGCTCTACATTAACTTGAAATGTTTATGGAAACCGCTAGTCATTTCTCTGTTTCAATAGGGTAATCTTTTTAATTTTTTTCCCCATGAAAGAACATATGTGATGAGGTTAATATTCACCCACTCTTCCCCTAACCTCTCCAAAAAAAATGTATTGGACTGAGCAGTGAAGACTCTGTGTTTTCATTTTCTTTTCTTCTTTTTTTTTGAGTTGGAGTCTCACCCTGTCGCCTAGGCTGGAGTGCAGTGGCACATGCCTGTGTAATCCCAGCACTTTGGAAGATGGAGGTGAGGGATTGCCAGAGCCCAGGGGTTCAAGACCTGGGCAACATAGCAAGACCTCATCTCTACAAGAAATTAAAAAAAAAACAAACTAGCCAGGTGTAGTGTCACCCGGCTCTACCTCCAGCTACTTGGAGGACTGAAGGGGAAGGATCATGATCACCTGAGCCCAGCAGGTAGAGGCCGCAGTGGCCGGGGGCGTGTCACTGCACTCCAGCCTGGGCAACAGAGTGAGACTCCAACTCCAAAAATGAATAAATAAATAAAAAGTAGAGCAGAGGACAGGAAAATTCTGACTCCCTGACTGCTTATCCTTTGAAGCCTGGCCAGATCCTCTGTGGCTGGCGGGTCTCTTATCAGGAAGGAATGTATCCTGAAACCTGGAGCTGTTCTGTAGAAACTGGGAAGCAGGGAGGGAGTCTGGCTGAGGCTCAGGCGACTGGCTGGAGGTGCTGAGGGAAGGAGTCATTTGCCTCTGAGTTTCTAGAGCTGGTTCCGCTCACTCCTCGGGAAATAAACATAGTGAAAACGAGTAAGGAAGAGGCGGCCTGACGAGTAGCTGGCCTCCTGTCCTCTCATGGCCAGGAACTCAGTGTTCAGGGTATCCCAGGGGTCCCCTGGGCCAGACGGGGGTCTGCTCAGTCAGTTGGGGGCTTAGGATTGGAGTGTTCTCCCTTACTGCTAGGCCTCCTGTCCTCTCCTTCCCATAACCTGTCTTGCCACTACAGCCCGACGTGACACCATAACCTTTCTCTGGCCACGTTCTGAGTCTTCATTATTTCGGAAACTCCAAGAGGGGATACAAGCTTCTGAAGCCCCTTGGGAGGTGGAAGCAGTCACGCTGTGGTTCTGTCTATGCATGTGAACACGTGTATACACCTCTTCTCCCATTAACCTGCTTTTTGCTGGTTGAGATTTCAGAGAACCTTCAGAGGGCAAAGGGGAAGTCTTCCCTTGGCTCTAACAGCCCCCACAAGGGTGTCGGAGTGGCATGCAAGCTAGAAAAGGTAAAAAAAAATAACAAATGTCAGCCCTGAGGTAGCAAGCGCTACCTTTCAATGGCAACGAAGGAATGGCCCTCAAGCAGGGCTGCAGATCGGTGTTCATGTAACAAGGGACATCCCTGCTGGGTCTCTTGTCTCTCCTTCTTCTCTCCCTCCCGCCCCCAGTTACCCGCTGCTGGGCCCAGGCCAAGGTTTGGCGAGGGCCGCTGGCTAAGGAGAGTAGATGGGAAACTCTGTGTGTGAGTGTGTGAATGCTAAGAATTGCACTGAGAAAAATCTTTCCCTGTAAAAATGTATTTACCTGAATAATTACTGCTTTGACTTTTTTAACTGCAAGATGCTCAGGGTTGTGGTTGAATGTATATTGTGATGCTCTGGGGGATGTCCAGGAAGACCCCATTCACATCTCCTTTTCTCCTGGGGTCAGGTGAGCTATCCCACAGACGACTGACAGCACTGGCCTCCTCGAGCGAACACTTGCTCTGAGGGACAGCCTTCATTCACGTGACCCTTCATTCACGTGGCCAAAGTGCATGCACTGACTGGAAACTTCCTTCAGGTGAATGAAACACCTCTCCGTGATAAGCATGCGAGTCTCTGGGAAGCGCTCAGTATATGGAAGAAGCAGGTTCTGCGACTGACATAGAAACCCTCTTCTTGACTCCAGGGAGGGCTCTTTCTCTCAGCATGTCCTTTATCCTTGTCACCACCCCACAGTTTCTCATGGCTTCCATGAAGCCATCCGAGGCAGTATAGTTCTAAACACGGCTCACTCGTCCTGGCTCGGCCTCCGCCCCAGGGGCAAATTCAAAGAGAGAATTTCTTCTCCTTCTCTCCCTTCTCCTGTGTCTCCCCTGAGGCTGCTTGGTCTCTGGTCACGACATGGCAAGGTTCACTTCCTTCTAGCACTGATCTCTTCTTCAGCTTCACGGAGTGACTGTGTCTCAGATCCATCTTGCACCACAGCATCGGTGATCTGATTCAGCTCTGTTCCTGCTCTTCCTCACCGAGAACCAAGTAAGAGACAGGAAGATGGTAGACGACAGAGGGTCAGCTCTGAGGGTCAGCAGCCTGGCTGTCCCTCAGAGCAAGAAGAAGGTTGAAGAAGACAGAGTTTATCGAGTTTATGCCCCTGGTTTCTTCCTTGTTTTTAGGGGAGGGGGAGGGTCAGGTTCCCTTCTAGTGTCTCCAAGTTGCAAGAGAGGAACAGGAGTTCCGTAGCATTTGCCCTAAACCTACTTGCACGATGGCTTCTGTTTCACTTGGGAGGTGGAAAAGCAGATAAATCACAGTGTTGTGTTTCATGATTGCCTCTAAAATGCCAACAACAGCACACATACGGATTGGGGAAGCATGGTGTAATAGTAACATTCAACACAGCACCACTCGGGGATTTTATCTAGCAGAAGTCCTGTATTACTTGAGAGTGAAATTTTACTAATGGGGTTTTTTCAACCTGTGTAGGAGCTCTAAGAATAAAGGCCATGGAGGAAGGAGCGGTAGCCTCATCCAGGAAGGTCAGAGGCGTCGGGGAGGATGTGAAGCTGAAGCAGGTGCATTTAGGATAAGCAGAGAGCTCAGAAACGGCTGGAAACCAGGCAGAGGCAAGCAGGTTGTTCTGGAAAGAGGAAATGACTGAAACAAAGGGAAAACGCAGACATTTATCCATGACGTCAGGCAAGTTTTTCTTGTCGATAAGATTCAAAAAACAAGTCAGAGAGAATCAGAAAATGAAATGGAGCAATGTTATGACAGAAAAATGCAGTGAAAGTCAGGGTGATTGTTCAGAATGAGTTCTGTTACACGTGTTTTGGGACTAGCCATCAAGCTTTGTTCCAGTAGCCTTTTTTCAATAAGATCTTTTAAAACGGGTCGGGCACGGTGACTCATGCCTATAATCCCAACATTTTGGGAGGCAGAGATGAGAGCCCACATGTTCAAGACCAGCCTAGGCAACGTGGTAAGACCACATCTCTACAATAAAAAAAAAAAAAAAAAAAGCTGGATGTGGTGGTGCACACCTGTAGTTCCTGCTACTTGGAAGGTTGAGGTGGAAGAATCACCTGAGCCCAGTAGGTCGAGGCTGTGGTGGCCGTGAGCATACCATTGCACTCCAGCCTGGGCGACGGAGTGAGACTCCAACTCAAAAAAAAAGATATTTTAAAAAAGGATTTATATAGACCAGGTTCAGTGGTTCAGCCTGTAATCCCGTGCCTTGGGAGGCTGAGGTGAATGGATTGCCTGAGCCCGCGGGTTCGAGACCCACCTGGGCAACTACAATAAATCAAAAAATCAGCCGGGCATGGTAGCACGCGTCTGTAGTTCCAGCTACTTGGAAGGCTGAGGCGGAAGGATCGCCGGAGCCCAGCAGGTCGAGGCTGCGGTGGCCGGGAGCGGCCACTGCTCTCCAGTCTGAGCGACAGAGTGAGACTCCAACTCAAAAAAATAAATAAATAAAATGGGGTTTATGGTTAAAATGGAGGGTAAGGAACTCAACTAAGATCCTGCAGCAGAATTACTCTTCAGAAATGACCAGCTTAGTGATAATTTTGCGTCTTGTAAAGTAAGCCTGCTGTAATCATCAAGGATAGACTGGCATGGTTAATTTTTCAGTTTAGTACTCGAGTATGAACAATGTCAAGGAGAAAATTTAACTCCTCTAGCATGTGTGACATTTCTGTACGATTCTCCTGTAATACATGCCTGCAGAGACATGAGAGAATCAGGAAAAAAAAAATCCATGGACTGACTTTGGCTTCATGGAGGAACCTCTGGCAGCTATAATCCCAGCCCCGCCTATCTTGTGGTTGGTAGAAATAAAGAAACCGAGGAACTTGCCTCTTACTTGGCTCTCAGTGAGGAAAAGCAGGAACAGAGCTGAATCAGATCAGCTGTGCTGTAGTGCATGACGGATCTGAGACCCAGTCACTCCGTGAAGCTGAATGATGGGCACTGCATGCCAAAGCTGGGATTTGGCACTTACACTACTGAAGACACAAGTGGAACCCAGGGGAGTGATTGAAGGGTGCTTTGTCAGCCGCCCTGGAAGGACTGTCAACAGGCAGGCTTCCTGGACCTGCAAGACAGTGGGTGGTTGGAACGACTTATCTTGGACTCCGTTTCACTTTCTCTGACTTACTAATGCCTCTCTTGGCCACAGTTCTTTTCTTTGCACTAAGTAGGATGGCACTGTCTTGACTCTGAACATTCAGAAGTTTAAAATGCTGTGGGTAGACTGTTATCATCATGATTCATGTTTTCTAATATTTATCAAGTGCTTTCCATTGTATTTTGTGTTTCCAATGCATTATCTCAATTCCTCGACAACTCTCCTAGGTAAGTGTTCATTATCATTTCTTAGGTTTTAAAAATCCAATCTCAGGCTGCTCTCTCTGTACTCATCTCCTGCCCCAGTCAGAGTCACTCTCTTATTGGTTAAAAATATGAAAGGCAAAGGGCCCAGAAGGAAACTGAAGTCAACATGAATACTTGGTAGCAATCTTACTGTGAGGTTGTGGGGACTGAAAGCATTTGCTGGAGAATTCCAACCATTCAAACCTTTTGTCAGCCAGCTCAGTGGGGTGGTTCAGCCTGTCATCCCAGCACTTTGGGAGGCCGAGGTGAGTGGATTGCCTGAGCCCACGGGTTCAAGACCCACCCAGGTAACTTGGTGAGACCTCGTCTCCACACTACATCAAAAATTAGCCGGGCGTGGTAGCATGTACCTGTAGTTCCAGCTACTTGGAAGGCTGAGGTGGAAGGATTGCTGGAGCCCCACAGGTCGAAGCTGCGGTGGCGGGGAGCGTGCCACTGCACTCCAGTCTGGGCGACAGAGTGAGACCCCAACTCAAAAAAAATAAAAACAAAAAAACAAACCTTTTGTCACTATGATTTCACTATGATTTGCCACTATGATTAGGTATTTAGAAAGGAAGACTTTGGAGACGTTAACTCACAATAGAGACTAGATTGGGCGTCTGAGCCGTGACTCCTAAAGGCTCACTGAAAAATCACTGACGTGTTGCAGATGGATAGCAAAAAAGGCATCCAACTTTATTTAACATGCACACACGGGAGCCTTCAGAATGAAGACCTGAGTTTTCAATGAAGTACAGAAGCTTACATGCCATCCTAAGGTTATAGAAGGAATAGGAGCTTGGATCCTGGCAAAGCAGGTTATGAGAAGGGAAGAGAGGACATTCTATTGAGGGGTGATACTTGACTACTAGGAAGAACAATTAGATCAGAGAACAAAAATTGGCTTGTAAATAGTTCTTCTTGGAGTTTAAATGATCCTTGGAGACAATCGCTACCTTGTAAACGAGTCTGTCCAGGTGTGGTTTTCTATTTTGTAATAGATAATGAAATGACTGAGACAGGAACAAGAACAGTTATTCTTCTTGGCAAGCTAGTCAAATCTTCATGCAGATAGGAAAAAAGTCTCTCCTAGCATTTGTTTATCTCTAAGGGTTTTTATTTTAAAATACTCATTATACCAGGGAGCCATATTTTGGGGTGAAATGTTTTGATTTTCTTCAGTTTCCTCTTTGAAACTTAAAAAAAAATTCACTTATTAAAAACCAAGCTCAGAGATGTGAAGAAATTTGGGTTAGAAGTGATTCGATGAAAATAGACAAAGGAGGGTGTGGTGGCTCACACCTATAAAACCAGCACTTTGGGAGGCCAAGGCGAGAGGATTGCCTGAGCTCACAGGTTTGAGACCAGCCTGGGAAACTTGGCGAAACCTCATCTCTACAATAGATCAAAAACTTAGCCAGGTGTGGTGGTACAGGCCTATAGTTCCAGCTACATGAAAGGCTGAAGTGGAAGGATCTCCTGAGCCCAGCAGGTTGAGGCTGCAGTAGCCGTGAGTGTGCCACTGCACTCCAGCCTGGGTGACAGAGTGAGACTTTGACTCAAAACAAAACAAAACAAATAAACAAAAAAAGAAATAGACAAAGGAACTGAAAGACAAATTGGGATGCACAAAAATGAGCATATTTAAATATATCGCCCCATATCTTGTTTAGTCAGTCTCTTTGTCCTGACACTAGATCAATTCAGTTAGACAACTCTGTTCCAGGAGGTGCCAAGGTTGATGTGGTAGGCTTCTGTAATACGTGATGCAAGCCCCCAAATCTTTAATGACAGGCGTTTCTATGGGAACAGAAGAAAGACAAGGGTTCATGTCTGGAGCAACCTATAGATCCGTTTCTCTAAAGTCTCTGAAACATCTCACAATTGCAGTGGCAACCTGGCAGGTTTTTCTGGATTGTAGGTTGAATCAGGCATTCAAGTAAAATTTCTGAGAAATCCACACATTAGCAGGCAGGCAGGAAGGCTATTTATATTTCAACTGCTGGTATTTTCCCCAAAGTTTAAGTTGTCTGGCTTCAGTTTGCAGGGCTTTAAGAAAAAAAAAAACAATTTTAATTTCTCCTAATTTCAAGTCACAAAAAGGAAAGAAAATTTGAAAGCATTAGTTTTGAGACTTACAGTCAGGAAAATTTCAGAATCCAATCTAATTGCAGATGAATATTAAAAATTGAAAAATCATGCACAAGGCTAGAATTAAAGAACAGGTGTACTATAGTTTCCTTTAAAATACAATTTTTCTCTCTCCAGTTTCCCATTTCTACCAAAGGCAAATCATAGTAGGACCAATTTATTATATGCAAAATAAATCTTAGTCCTTTTATAATTTGGTCTGATTATTTGCATGACATACAGCAAGAATGGTTATTGGTCATAAAGGCTCTTTTTAAATTGTTTTTGCTAGAACTTTATTTTTATAAGAAATCTCAGATTAAGCTCTTGAAAACCTCTTGAGCCCAATCAAGGATTCATCTGTACCTGCAGATACTTGTATACAATGGGCGAATTCCTTTCTTCTCAAAGTCCCCAAATAACCTGATGTCCTTGGGCCTATCAGAAATTGGCCTTCTTTACTTGCCACAGGTCAAGAGCATTGTCAAGAAATCTCACAGGCAAGATACCAGGCTAGTCAAAGAGACTTTTATGAGTTCCTTAAAGTCAGCCTCAATTTCCTCAAAGCAGTCTGATCATATTTGAAAATACCCCACTCCAGTCAAAGCTCTTGGTAAAATAACCACTGTATCTAATTGTGTCAAATAAACAGATTCTCATCGAACTTGGCAAAGGGTTTCAAAGATGGCAAAGAGGAAGGAGAAGTAGGGTAGAGTAAAAATAAATAGGAAGAAGGGAAGTGAACAAAGGTGCCAAGCACATTTCTTAAAGGTTTTAGTTCATTGAGAGCAGCCAACAGATACATGAAAAAATGCTCAGCCTCACTAGTCAACAGAGAAATGCAAATCAAAACCATGTTGAGATACTACCTAATGCCAGAAAGGATGGCCATCATTAACAAATCAGAAAACAATAGACGCTGACGCAGGTGCAGAGAAAGGGGGATGCTTCCACACCGTTGGTGGGAGTGCAAACTAATCCAACCTCTTTGGAAAACAGTGACCATTTCTAAAGAAACTAAAAATTGACATTGACCAGCAATACCCCTTCTGGGAATATACCCAGAAGAACACAAATTGTTCTACAAAAGAGACACACCACCTACACACACATTTATTGCAGCATTATTCACGATATATATATATACACACACACACACACACACACACATACCTTTCTTCTTTTTCTCTTACATCCTGCTTTTGGAAATTACTTTATTTTTCAATGAATTAAAATCTTTTTTTTTTCTTTATTTTATTATAGAGATATGGAGTACAAGCCAAGTTTAGATAAATAAGTAATCTACGTGCAGGTGAAGTTTGAGCCTCCAACTGGTCTTCACGACCCCTGGTTAAGGACCCGGTAAACTTTGTGTTGTTACGTATCCCCCCACCCCAGGTCCCATGACTGCCAATCCCTCCCTTGGACTATTGTGATTAATGTCCAGGTCCCATTTATGAGTGAGAACAGGTGGTATTTGGTTCTGTGTTTCTGTGACAGCTCTCTAAGTATGATTGTCTCCTGCTCGTCGATGAAGGTAGACTTCAGAGAGGGTAGATGAGTGTCTCATCAGGTTCCCGGAGCCTGGGAGTTCCCTAGAGATGACTTTGCAGGGCCATAACAGCTTTGGTTTTCTTCTTTATTCATTATGTGATGCCGGGCCAGAGTCAGGTTGGAAAACAGACATGAGTATATAGGGTAACAGGGTAATAAAACCCCATCTGGTGAGTCCTTTTCGGGTATGACTCTCCAGGCTTCTTAGTCAGGAATTCAGAAATGAGAGAGAAAAAAAAGGTCAAGCTTAGTCCTCACTCGTATTTCAAAAGTCACAAAAATATCAAACCCGAATGGACTGATTCCTGATTAGAAAGGGGACCCAGGCTGTGGTGGGAATTTTAGCTACTAGACTGCAAAATGGAGCAGCCTAGCCAAGGTCGGTGGCTCAGCCTGTAATTCCGCGCTTTGGGAGGCTGAGGTGAGTGGATTGCCTGAGCTCACGGGTTCGACACCCGTCTGGGCAACTTGGCAAGACCTCATCTCTACAATAAATCAAAAAATCAGCCAGGCATGGTAGTGCGCACTTGTAGTTCCAGTTACTTGGAAGGCTGAAGAGGAAGGATCGCCGGAGCCCAGCAGGTCGAGGTTGCAGTGGCCGGAAGCAGCCACTACACTCCAGTCTGGGTGACAGAGTGAGACTCCAACTCAAAAAAAGAAAAAAAAAGGGAGCAGCCTTTATTGTTAATCTCACAAAGAATCCAAAGCAGGCAGTTTGAGTGTAGCTGTAGATCAGATTTTTGTTCTTTAGTTTAGTCAGGAGATTTTTTTTTTTTTTTGAGTCAGAGTCTCACTCTGTCGCCCAGGCTGGAGTACAGTGGCTTGCTCACGGTCACCACAGCCTTGACCTGCTGGGCTCAGGCGATCATTCTGCCTCACCCTTCCAAGTAGCTGGAACTAAGGAAATGTGCCTCCATGCCCGGCTATTTTTTTTTTTATTTATTTATGTAGAGATG